CAGGACCAATCAGGGCACACACACACACACACACACACACACACACACGCAGCAGGCAGGCAGAGTGGCAGCTCATTGGACCACGTAGCAGGGTCATGCTTAATGATGTCTCTGATCAGGCAGGCAGCACATGATTGGGCTCCTCACCAGTTGGAGTAAACAAGCGAGGGTCACTAGGCTTGGCAGCCAGCCAAGAGTTGGAGTAAACAAGTGAGGGTCACGAGGCTTGGCAGCCAGCCAAGGGTTGGAGTCACAAGGCTTGGCAGCCAGCCAAGGCACCATCTTTGGCTGACTCTGCCGCGCTGGCTTCCCACACCCTCAAGTATTCAGCATTCGAGGAAACTTCACAGAGGAAAGAATTCTTGGGGTTTGGCTTGTTACATTTTTTTCGAAGAACCTGAGGTGTACCATTAAGTTGTTTGAGATACAAATGTGTTTTTAATGTAGACACTCATGACTATAAAAATTCCTCTTTAAACTGCCTTAGTTATATCTCATAGACCTAGTTTCATTGTTGTACATGTAGATATACGGTTTTCCCAGCACTATTTCTTGAAAAGGCTGCCTTTTTTCCCCAATGTATGCTTTTTAGACCTTTGTCTATAGCAGTGTGAGTTTATTTCTGGATCCTTGATTCCATTGACCTGTGCATTTTTGTTTGTTTGTATGCTAGCTTTTTTTTTGTCAGTTAGAGGAAATGGAACTGGTGAATTAATTATATAGAGGCATCAGGAAATATTTGGGAGTAACATTTATTATGTTGATTAAAGTAATAGCTTCATGGGTATATAGAACCAATCATATTTTATACTTCAAATATATGATATACACTTATTGTACATCAATTAAAATTATTTCCTCACAAGACTAGTTTTTTAACATTTCTCTTTTCTACACCTCCTCAATTCATCCTTTGATTTCTTTTACATGAAACCTGAAAATGCCAAGAAGTCAGCAAAAAGTATCACTAGAAATACACATGCATGGTTCTCTTTTTGTATTCTGTTTGTTATAAGGGTTTCTGCTCATGAAAAACTGATGCTCTCTCTCCCTTCTTTGCAGTTCTGGGAGAAGTTCTGACTCCCAGTCTTCATTTTATGGTTCATTTCATCCTCATGGCTAGCAAACACCAGCCTGAAAATGTTGTTTAAAGAGTGAGGCATCACCCTGCTGTTAGACTGCCCTTCTATTGCTTTCCTTTCTGAGACTGTAGTAGGGACAAGTCTAAATCCCTGAAGAAGAAATTGCTAACAAAAATGTCTTCTTATCCTTTCAGCATTCTAAATCTCTAACTTGAAGTTTTCATCCAAGTAGATGTAGCCATGCTCTCTTAGTCTGGTATCTGGTTAGGCCCACTTCCTGGTTCAGACATAACCATATTGTTGTAACTTCACATTGTGGGAGAGGCAAGAAAGCTCTCTGGGATTTCCTTTATGAGGAAATTAATCCTGTTCATGAAGGTTCTATTCACCAAAGCCCCATCTCCAAATACGATTACATTATTTTCAATGTTTAAACTTTGTGAGAACATGTCATCAAATATTCATTACTTGACAGTAGTCCATATGGGTCTTTTGTATGTGCTGTGAATTCAACCCAGGGCCTTATACACACTGTGTGAGACAGGCTTGAGCCTAGGGTAAAAGTCTTATTGACAGCCATACAGCAAGCCCAAGGCAATGGCCTGACAGCTGGAGCCACAAAAAATGCCTTGTGGCATTTTCTCCCATTGGCAGATCATGAGACTGATGCCTAGAGCTTGCCACTCCCTAATCACCACCCTTGGAATCCAAAATTGCAACACTTAGATATTGCACCAGTCAGGGTCACATGGTTTCCAGGAATCCAGTCTCTGTAATCTGAAACCCAGTATGCTAATGAGGCATCCTACCCACTATTCTGTGATAGGACGTTAAATCTGTTATGCTAATAGGATATCCTACTTGCTGTACTGTGATAGGATGCTAAACCTGTTATGCTAATAAGGTATCCTACTTGCTGACATGTGATTGGACCACTACCCCTATATAAACTTGTGCCTTCCTGCAATAAAGCAGATCTGTGTCACTGAACCTGGTCTCCTGTGTCTGAATGTGGCTCTGCTGACACAGTCTCCTCACCAGCCCTGGGGTCCAGGACCGGACAGAAGCAGTGACAACAGAAGGTGGCACCGGGTGAGCAGAAGAGCGGCCTCAGCCCAGGGCAGGCAGAAGAGCAGCCTCGATGCCTGTGAGAATGAAGGAGCGGCCACCGCTGGCAGTGACCACAACACACTACACATGTTCTTTACCAAGCCCCAGGCCAGGGGCTCTTTTTTTCAATAATTGATTTTGTGTGGAACATGCTAAGCCCTTTGAGTTAATTATTTTAGCATTACTGCAACATACCATCTTACAGAAGCAACTCAAGGGAAGGAAGATTTATTTAGTTCACAATTGAAGTGATAACAGGCCAATGTAAAGGGGAAGAGATGGCAGAGAGGCTCTGTGGTAGCCAGACCATGTGGCAGAGCTCCTCACATAGACCAGAAAGCAGAAAGCTAAACCAGAACAGAGGAGCCTCACAGCCCAACACCAGTGATCCAATTCTGCTATGTTGGCCATACATCCCAAAGGTTCCATAACCTCCTAAAACAGTACCACCTGCTGAGGACCAAGTGCCAAAAACATCAGCTTGAGGGGGACATTCCATATTTGAACCATAACATCCTGACACTGACTCCTATAGATTCATGGCCATCCCACAATACAAAATGCATTCAGTCTAATCTCAAGATTTCTATAGTTTTAAGAGTTCCAACACAGGGCCTACAGAGATGGTTCAGCTATTAAGAGAATTTGATGCTTATGCAGAGAACCCAGGTTTTGTTGCCAGAACCCACATGACTGCTCACAATCCTCCATAACTCCAGTTCCAGGGAATCTGACATCCTCTTCTGGCCACTTCAAGCATTGCATGACACGGTGCATTTATATACATGTAGGCAAGACACCAATACACATAAACTTTTTAAAAATAAATTTTAGAGTCCCAATACTGTTCAAAGTCCAAAATTTTCTGAGACTAAAGTCAAACTTTTAGTGATGAGTGCCTATAAAATAAAAAGGCAAGTTACAGCCTTCCAATGTCTATTATACTCTCTATAAAATCCATTCTTTGAGGGAGAAATGGGCAGATAGCAAGGAAATATTGGACCAAAGCAAAAACACAGTCCAGCAAGACAAACATTAAAACCTACAGCTCCACATCCAGCATCCAGTACACATGACAGCATTGTCTGACCTCCAGTGGGTACAGACCTGCCCTCTGGCCCTATTGTCTACAGCACAACAGGCTTCTTTCTTGGGTCAGTTCTACTCAGTGCCAACAGCTTTCCATCACAGACATCTTACATTCCTTGTGTCTACAGAATTCTAGAGGGATTTAATTGCAACTGAGGCTTCACCTTCAGAGTTTCACAGAGAGCTCTCTCAAGATCTTTATTCAATGGATATAAAGTCTTACACATCATAGATTCACAAATGTTTTGTTGCATCCTTCATGCAAACTTCATAACCCCAGCATTCTTGTGTTCTGCACATTTGAAAAACCAGCATTAGATGGACAACACCAAGGTCTGCAGCCACCTTCTGATGTAGCCAGGTGTCCTTTGACCAAGACTCCAGTGGCTTCCAAGTATCTGAATGGCTGAACCAGAGAAACCACTTCCCTAAGCGTCTTTGGTCAAGCAGGGCATCCCTACAGCAACACTTTTAAAATGGAAGTCTTCTAAATGTACTTGCCTTTTTACAGCATGAGGGTCTCTGAGAAGGAGAGGTCCCATCCTCAAGGCACCTTTCCTGTTGTCCCAGTGCAAAATGTGTAATTTTCTTTAACAGTGCTAGTATCTTTATCAAGTACAGCTGTTTTATCCATGTTTGCTTTGTCTGAAGTCTTAACCACATCATACTTCTTTCCTTGTCAAAGTAAACATTTTTAGATCTCTCTGAACCCATTCTTATTATAAAGCTGGTTAAAAGGAGCCTGAAATAACCAAACCAAACCACACTATAGTTGATGCCATGCTATCTTGAAAATTTTCATCTACCAAATAAATTACTGTATTATTATTTTTTAAATTTAGCCTTGCTTAAATTTTCAGGAAACAGAATATAACCCAATTCTTCTCCAGGATGTAACATGAATAGTATCTAGTTCAATTCCTGAAAGAGTCCTCATTTACATCTGAAATCTCACAAGCAAAAGCTTACTAGCCACACATCTACTGGCACTGTATCTTCCACATTCTCACTAGAATGACTCATTAAGTTCTAATTAAAACATTCTAGGCCATCTCTAGCATGCAACTCCAAACTTCCACATTCCTTGCATAAACCAGTCCCAAAGCCCTATATACCACATGGTCAAGTTTAATTACAACAATGATCCCACTTCTTAGTACCAATTTTCTGTAGTAATTTCTTTTTTTCATTGCTATAACAAAATACTTGATAGAGAAAGTTGGGGGAGGAAAGATTTATTTTGGCTAATGGTTTCAGAGGCTAGTAACCATTATTTGGCTAATAAACCATTATGTGGCTAATGGTTTCATCATAATGAAGAAGGCATGGCAGAGTGGCTCTGTGCTGGTGTGAGCTCTTCACCTAGCAGCCAGACCAGGAATCAGACAAAATTAGCCTGAAACAGAGATATTAGCCTGGAAGCAGAGGCAGGAATAACCTCCAAGGGAAACCACCAGTGACTTATTGCACCAGCTAGCAACCAAATCAAAAAGATTCCACAACCTCCTTAAACTGAGCTATGAGAGAGAGAACCACTGTCCAAAGCCTGAGTCTGGAGGGGACAATCCAGATTTGATTAACACTTTGACACTCTTATAATGTGTATAGTTGTAGGCATAACTTTTATTAATGGACATAATACTGGCTAATGACTTTTAATTAACCCCAGCAAAACCATGCACTCTTAGGTCTGAGGACCAGGGCATCTCTTTGGTATCCTCAGTTTGGTTTGCACCCAAGGAGATAATGGGTATGCTTGAGAATTAAGACATCAAAGAGATGGAAGGTGGTGGTGCCCCCACCTCCATTGAACACTGTGGAGGTTGGGAAGGACCTGTAACCTTGGATGAATGTAAACTCGGGATGAAAAGAGCCCATGGTCTGTAAAGATTAAGGGTAGAGCAGAAACTGTACTTCTCCTATGAAGCTGGGCAAACCATTTTGAATAAATTGTGGGTGTGTCCTGATGTGGGTTGGGGGGCAAGAGTGGGATAGTGGAACAGTGGGAGAAATAGGGTTCTAGAGAGAGTTCCATCTCCATCAGCACAGGGTGAGGACCCAGACAGCTCCATCTGCACAGATTGAGAGATAAGAGAGATCCATTGCACAGCTCTAGGAGACAGTTCTGATAGCTTGGAGAACTAGTGTCCTCTAAGTTCTTTGAACCTCTTGTCCCCACATCAACCACTGTCTCATTATATTCTTCTCTTTTCAAACTATGAATTCCTAGAGAAGTTCTTCTAATTTCTAATAAAAGTCATTGATCTTTAAAATTAGTAAAATAAGCTGGGCGTGGTGGCGCACACCTTTAATCCCAGCACTTGGGAGGCAGAGGCAGGCAGATCTTTGTGAGTTCGAGGCCAGCCTGGTCTACATAGCAAGTCCCAGGACAGCTGGGGCTACAGGGAGACCTTGTCTCAAAAAGATAAAAAATAAAATAAAATTAGTAAGATATTAAAATTGTCTCTGCAGTATTAAAAATATGGCATCTAGACACAATTCAGAACTTCCAGAAACAGATAGAGAGGGTAGAGTTGAGGAATCTGGTTTTGTTTTTTCACGGACTGTTTCATGTCTGCATGTGAGAGGCACTCCTCAGCATCTGTGTGCTCAAACTCTCCATCCTCTCCATTACTTTCAATGTGGTCTTGGTTTTTCCAATGTGTTGCTTTCCTTCTCACTTTGCTTAGAGCAGTTTTTATCTCATCTTTGGCCTCAAATTGTCATCTTTTCAGTTCAAACCTTCCTCTCTTTCTGGGTTTCTTGCCATGTATTCATGTTCTTAAGGTTCTCCTGTTTCTTATCATTTATTTTCAGATTTTCTTTTTCTCTGAATTTTCAAAATGAGGTCCCCTTTTCTCCTGTTACTATTTTCTGTTTGTGTTAGCCCCAAATGAGATTTGAAAATCTCTGTAGACCTGATATTTGCCAAAGTACATGTATGCATTGTTTTTGATTCCACCCCATCTTCATTCAAGTATTAACTGATTGTTAACTTTTACTCTGCCTTTGAGTAAACTGGGACTTTATATAGAGACATTCCCACTTATCTCACTAAAGCCTTTAGTCTGTCAATCTGCTGACTGGTTATATGCTTTAAGGGTTGAAAAAAATAAGAAGGGAAGAGCTATACATGCATATATACATACACCAGTCCTCACATTCTGCTTATAAGAAGCCCATAGGGAAAAATGTAACAAAATGAGTCAGAAACCACCTTCCTTTGCTTACCTTCCTTAGCAGTTGAATTGCCTTTTTAAGGTCTCCTTTGGCAAAACAGATGCTGCCCAGGTTATAAAACATTTTGGCCACTTTTTCAGCACAGTCACCATAGTTGCCAATCTGGGAATTCAGTGAAGACATTAGCAATCTGAACACCTGTCGCGAGCCGGGACTCTGTCCAGCAGAGTCCAGGAAAGACGACACAGACACCAAGGTGGGGTTCAAGCTTCTGTTTCTCTTTCATCCTTTATTCTCTCTTATTCTCTCTCACGTTCTCTTCACTATGATGCTGTCTCTCACTATGATGCTGTAGTCGTTGTTCTGTTCTATTACATACCTAGCTGTTTATATAGCATTTCCAACAGCCCTTCCCCCAGGCCGGTACCAATCAGGGCACACACACGTGCAGCGGGCAGGCAGAGTGGCTCATTAGGCTCATAGCAAGATCATCAGGCTGGCAGCACCTGTTTGGCCTCTCCATACTTTGGAGTAAACAAGCGGGATTCACGAGCCTTGGCAAACAGCCAAGAGTTGAAGTAAACAGCACGAGGTTTGGCAGCCAGCCAGGGCTCCATCTTTGGCTGGCTCGGCTGTGCTCGCTTCCCACA